ATTGGTCCTCTTTTTTTTTCAGGATGGGAGGGCAGGGAATGGGAGGACTTAAAATGGAACAGTTCCCGCAAGTGTCAATGACCCTAGTGTAGAACCAACAGACACCCTCTTATTAAGAGAACCAGAACCAGAAGTACATCATAACTCATTCAAGGCCATTAACCAGGAGAGCCAGCTAGTGGCAAAGACATCACTACAATCTGCCCTTGAAGTGGCTGCCTGTCGTCCTGCTCTACTGCTGAGGTAATGCAATGAGCATTATGACATTTGTAAGGATTCCCTAAAGAGAAGCAATCCATGGTTGAGGACCTTCCCTTTTGAGGGTATGAAGCTCTTTGCTGAGGAGATTGACATCTCCCATTATATCCTAAAGAATTCCAGGGCTTCTACTCCAGTCACTGGGTGTCTATACACTGGACAAAAAAGACAATTTAGCCTCCAATCCCAGCATAGACCACATGTCTCAAAATTAAATTCAGCTCCACTGTTAGCTGTAAATAAATGGAAATTCCCTAAATTCAAACCATCTGGCCCACAATCTTCATCCCTAGTCCTCTATATTTACACCCCACTTTTGATGGACAGTTTGAGGCACCATTACACCACTCCCCGACTGACACAGCCGACCATTGTTTCACATCCATTTGGCTGTTGATTGGCAGTGTTCTGAAGTGTCTGGGAAGGCACATAAGACTTGATGGGACCTAGTGATTGTTTGAACTGGATACTGCATTCAGTTTATCTCCCTTCTTCCTTCATAACACCCTTTCTCATTCCTCTTCAAGGACCTTTCTCACAAGAGTTACTATATGACATAAGATAGATCACTTCCTCCAGCTAGGAGCCATAGAACCAGTACCTCAACATCTACAAGACAAGGGGTTCTACTCTTGTTATTTCCTACTACCCTAAAGGAAAAAAGGTTGAAGAGCCATAAAAGGCTTCAGACATTTCCACAAGTTTGTCAGATGGAAAAATTAAAGATGGTCATGTCTTTGCGAGCATTACAGCATTGGAATAGGGAGACTGGTTTTCAGCCTTCAGCCTGCAGGACGACTATTCAAGTAAGCTGCTGTGGAAGCTGGAGAGCCTGGACCAAAGACTATCATGGGATCTAGATTTTGATAATGATAGCACTGAAATGTTTCTTGTGCAGGATTATCATTCCCACCAATATTCTGGTCTGCCACTTCAGTAGTTTTGTTCAGTGGTTTTCATTTATCTTCAAAATGAATACAGAGAAACACTTTCTGAAATGAGTCTGGATCCTTACATTGCTCACCAAAAACAAATTTGATTTTAGTATATTTTAGGCAAAGGAGAGTGTAATGCAGTTCTGTTTGTAGGAACTCTCAATAAAACAAGGTTAAAGAACGTAAAAGTAAATGTACATTTTTAGAAGGTATTCCCTATTTTGGTTTTTGGCTCTTAAGTTTGCTTTTTCTGTTGCTGTGAAATGAGTTTGTTCAATGCTGACCAAGTTATAGATTCCATATTAAATATAAAATATCTGATCTTTGTTATATTGTAAGCTTTTCTGGGTTACGTATCTTTGTGGTTGAATTGTACAATAAATTGTAGCCATATAGATACTTGACTTTTTGAATTCTCTATTTTGTGAAAAAAAAAAAAATATTTTTCTTTTCAGCTTCATTTACCTCTCAATTCTCCTTTACCTGGAAGTGAATTGACTAAGGAACCTTTCCGCTGGGATCAGAGACTATTTGCTTTAGTTCTGCGTTTGCCTGGCATCACAACTCCAGAATCAGAGCAGATAGCAGGCGTGCCAGTTGATGACTCAGCAATTACACCTATGTGTGAAGTCACAGGAGGTGAGTGCCTTAGCTCACTTCACAAAGTAGATCTTATGGAAAAGTGATCTAGCATATAGCTCACTTTGTATAAGAGTGTATTTGAAATTTTCTGACTCCTTTGTTTAATCTCTTTAAAACTCTAGACACACTAGGGGTATATATTACAGCTCTGTTAGGACATATAAGTAGTAAAATTTCACATGAATTCATTTGAATTATCTTGAAAGGATGCGCATTTGCTTTCTTCGGCAGCTTTTCACAGAGGATGAAATATGTTTTTTATTTTAGGCACTCATCCAGAAGTCTTAAAAATTATGAAATCTGTTCCATAGTGAGAGAGCATTTAGTTTGCTGGCAGAGAACATGTCAGCATTTAAAGGCCATGGAATGTGTTTTCTTTTGAGAGCTTTTAAATATTTCTTAAATGAAGAATATTTTTTGAGAAAGGTCTGCACTTGCCCTTTTCTTCCATTGCCCTTTATGTATGTTTGTAATCTTTCATGGTTATCTGTCTCATTTAGATTGTAAACTTCTCTGGTACAGGTGAGAAGTTATGTCGTGTCTGTAGAGTGCCATAAACACTTTGTATCAGAAACACAATCCATGTAGCAGTAATTGAGGTGATGGAAGAGGGGAAAAAGGAAAAATTTAAAAGTGAAAGAAACTTCAAACAGATATGATCTCCAGCCACACTCCTCAGAATGTAAAGTAGATACTTCAGCCACTGGATTAAACAATGGTTAACATCCATGGGAATTTAAAAGATGTTGAAGGAATTTAAAAGGGGGAAGGGATAGCTCAGTGGATTGATCATTGGCCTGCTAAACCCAAGCTTGTGAGTTCAGCCCTTCAGGGGGCCATTTAGGGTTCTGAGGCAAATCTGTCAGGGATGGTACTTGGTCCTGCTGTGAGGGCAGGGGACTGGACTCAATGACCTCTCAAGGTCCCGTTCAGTTCTATGAGATGGTATATCTCCATATATTATATTATTATATTGAAGTCTGCCACAAGGGGGAGCTCAGATTCCAAGAATGTGATAGATTGTAAACTATCAAAAAAAATCTGAAAATGTAAAAGGCTACAAAGTTAAAACACAGTATGTATATGTCTATTAGTTGTTACCAAGATACATGAAGAAATTCATTAATGAAGTCATTTAATAGGCTGTCTTCATTCGACCAAATTACATATGTTCTCTTTGTAACTTGTTTATCTATTTCTCCGTAAATAGATCAGCAAAAATCATAAGTCAGCCTTTCCAGCTTCTCAGTGAGTAAGAATTAAAAGGCTAAATTTGAACAGCTTGGATGAGAGATGAGTAAGAGGGGACAGAAGTCTAAAAATAATTCCTAAGCATAATCTCCAAAATGGCAGAGAAAATACATAGTGATGCATAGATATATCTAAGAGTAATAAAATGAAATTATGGATGAAAGAACTCTTTTACAGATGTCTTAGACTGTGAATGTCTACTAAGGGAAGTTCTGGACATCCTCTTGGGAAAAAGACACTTAAAATATAGTACAAGAGGCAATCTTGCATTGATATGGACTATATAATCTTATAAGTCTTTTCCTATTGCTATTGTGTATGCACAATATGTATGTACGATTTTATATTCTGTTACCATGTTTTAGTTGCACTATATATTTTAAAGGGATTCAATGAAGTACTTAATTGTATTAAAGGCAATATCTCAGATTCCCCATCAGTACATAAGAAAAGTACTTTTTTGGTTTTGTGATATTAGATATAAAGATCATAACAGGGCATTATGTGACATTTGGATCATTTTCTTACATTGACAAATACAATCCTTACTTACATTGACAAAAGTAATCTATGAATTACATCTAGTCTATACACATACAACTTGTTACTTTAAATAGTTGTGTTGGCTGTTGATACTTTTTTGATTTTTCTGATTTATAACATGGTTGGTTTTATTATAGTTACCAATAAGCTATTTGCTAATAATAATCCATTAACATGATATCCAAAGTGCTACACTATTTCTTTATAATATAGAATAATAATATAGCTGCAGTGCCTCACCCCAAAACACTTTATATGGTAGTTGTTGATATATGGTGTTATCTGTTACTGCTTTATAAACAAAAATACCTGCTTGTACAGCCAGTGCAATTTTGAGAATGTAATAAACATGCAGCATACTGTGTCAGTTTTAGAAAACTTGTTACATGGAGAAAGGATGTTTAGATATCTTAAATCAAATGCATTTTAACTAGACTTCTATGAAATGGATTATCCTGAAGATATTTCATAAGGTGAAGGGAGAAATACGAAGTTGTAGATTTGCACGTGAGACTTTTTCTTTAATCCTAGGTCGCTCATATTGTGTGCATTCTTCAAGAATGTTGAATCAGTGTCTTGAGTCTTTGGTTCAAAAAGTGCAAAGTGGAGTAGTAATAAACTTTGAAAAATCTGGACCAGATCCTTCACCAATTGAAGGTATTTGAAAATATCTACATACTTTTGTATCCCATTAGATTTGCACGTGGTCTTCAAATTTAACAGTCGCCAGAAGTGTACATAGTTTAATTTGGAAGAAGCACTATTGTTCCTTTTCTAATGTAGTAATATAGCCACCTTCTTGAATGGTTTAAATTTCTGTAATTTTACTCCTTTTTGTTCTAAATATGAATAACTTGCCTAGTTCTTTTAGAACATGTTCATGGAAAATACTAGCTTTTTCTAACCCTGAAATGCATGTTAAAAGCTCATTAGTGTCATTCATATTAGATTAATATATGTTCAGTCTTTCTGCACCAGAAAAATATGAGTTCTGAAAGCACATCAGATAATAGAAGAACTGGGTTTTTTTCAGATTCTCTTTCAGTAAACATTTAAGTGTTACTGAAGTCTAAATTAAT